ACACTCGTCTCACCTGTTGCAGCCCCTTGACGTCGCCTGCTTCTCGCCATTGAAGCGCAAGTATGGCGACGCTGTTTCAGGCTTGGCACGCAACCGCACCTACTATATCAGCAAAGAGACCTTCCTACTAGCCTTTAAGGCTGCTTTTGAGCAGTCTATTACAAAGGAGAATATCCAAGCTAGATTTAGAGGCGCTGGTCTAGTCCCACATGACCCACAGGCTGTGCTATCTAAGCTTGATGTAGTGGTGCAGACGCCAGTACAATCACCACGACGGACAGCTGCCTGGCAGGCGCAGACACCACGCAACGCGCGCGAGGTTAAGGCTTAAAGTACTCTTATTTAATAGAGAGTAAGAAACCACCCTAGGTCTTCTGCAAATTCTCTTAACAAGAAGGTTGTACAGCTAAGTAAAGGGGCTTAGCAAATAGCATATGAGATGACGCTTATGAGGGAGGAAGTAGCTGCTCTTTAAGAGGCTCTAGACACAGCAAATAAGCGTAAGAGCCGCAAGCGGCGATACGTACGGACAGAAGAGACTCTTACTATAGGCGAAGTACAAGAAGTATTAGCTGAACAGGCGGGTAGCAGTCGTGGTGATGGTGAGAGTGCGTCGAAGAGGGTGCGAGGAGAGCGGTGGTGCGGGCGTTGCAAGCAGACTAGACACAACGCTTGTACCTGCGCAGTTAAGATAGATAGTGTAAGTAATAGTAGCGATTCTAATAATTAATTTAGTATATTACAATAGTTTATTAACTGTAATAAAAGACTGTGATAACGTGTCAACGTCAACGCGCTAGTGGGGAGTGACCAACTCGCTTGGGTGACCGACTCGCTTATGAACCACGTTACGCAATTTACTCTAAATTACTTTAATTTAAAGTAGATTACCCTCCTCTACTTATATAAAGACTACTTAGGTGTAGCTAAGATAGTAACACTCTAAAAGGGGGGATATTATTAAGCGCTATATTTTTAGCTAACGTGCAGGGTCAGTAAGCTGGGCAGATCAGTAAGCTGGGCACCCCACCAAACTTGACGCGACGCTCTACACAACCACCACCATGCCGCGACAACAACGTTCTATACATACTTCTCGTGAAGGCAGAATAAGCCTTGCTATCGCGTCTTATTGTAATAATCTAAAACAATCTATCCGTGCTCTTGCAAAAGCATATAATGTGCCACAATTAACACTACATACTCGCGTTCATGGTACTTAGCCACGACTAGAGCTACGGTCTGTTAACCGTAAGCTATCGTCCATTAAAGAGCAGTCCCTTGTGCAGTGGATCCTAGACCTTGACCGTCGTGGTTTTCCACCCCATATTATCGACGTACGACGAATGGCAGACGCTCTACTCGCTGCGCGCGGCCAAGATCCACCTCCACCACCTGTTGGCAAGAACTGGGTGTCGCGCTTTGTCCAGAGCCAGCCAGAGCTCCAGACAAAGTGGAA